CAGGGGCTCCTACAAGGGTGGTGATGGTAGGGCTGGATAGAACATGAGATCTGAAACACACTTGGGAGGTGAGACAGGAGTTGGTGGTGGTGAGGGAGGGATGAGAGTCAAGGTCAGGAAGAGGGAAGCCGAAAAGAATGGCATTTCCAAGAAGGAGCAGTTAGCGGTGCTGGCTGCTGTGCTGCGGTCAAGGAAAATGCGGGCTGAGATGCATCTGCAGGTTTTGGTCACAAGGAAGAAGTCTCAGGGCAGTGGAGGCGGGAGCAGACTTGAGTGGGTAGAGGGAAGAGTGGGAGGTGAGGAAGTGGGCACCGCAAGCAAAGATAACACCTCCGAGGCTGGACTGGGGGTTGGAGTCACAGCAGGGCTCTTACTGTTTTTAAGATGGACGAGACTTGACCTCATTTAATGCCAACAGGAAGGCCCTCGAGAGGCAGAGGTCAGCGACAGGATAAGAAGAGGAGGAAGCTGCTTGATGAGGGACCCTGAGCTGGGTGGAGAAAGGAGGCTCGGGGAGCAGGAGGGACCCTTCTCGGGGAGCAGGTGAAGGAGGGAAGGCAGGAGACACGTGGCTCTCTCCTGGGTTGTGGGCAGAGCCTTCTCACAGACTCCCTGCCCCTGGCCTCCTTCCTCCCCGCCCCTAAGCCCCATCCTGCACATCTGTTGCATTCATCTTCCTGGAGTGTGAATGGCTGTGTCACCCACCACGCCCCCTGATCATTCATAGCCCCTCTGCAGCTCCCAATACTGCAAAACAAAGTTGTCATTTCTGGTTACTTCTGGGGTCTCAGCTTCAATGCCACTAGTTCTGGGAAGGCCCCCAGATTAGGGAAAGTCCCGTTGGTACCCATGACACATACCCTTTACACAGTATGTATCTTCTTTGAGACACTCAGTGAACTTGTAGTTACTTGATCCTAGTCCATTAGACGATGGCAGGGGCACATGTGTGTGTGCACATGTGTCTATAGTGGCGTGTATGTGTGTGCTTCCTTACCTCTCTCTCCAGCACGAAGGACAGAGCCTGGCACAAACAGGCACTACATTGTGCTGAACGACCGACTGATGAAAATATTCACGTCTGTCATTAAGGCCCTCAAGATCTCAGGCTAAATTTCCAGCATCCCCTAAACCTGCCCATGCTCCAAATGTTGGGGACTCCTTCCTGACCCCAAAGCAGCCCCACTCTTTCCTCCTGCACCAGGTCTCTGCTCAGACTGCTCCCTGTGCCGGGCATGCCTGCCCTCCGCTCCGTCCCGTGCAGGTGCCCACTCCTCCTTCCAGTCCCAGCCTCTCCCACTGTGGAATCTTCTCTGAAACCCCACCTGCCACAGGCCCAGTCACTTAGCATCCACCATGAATGTCTATCTTCCCTGCCCCTTAACTCCTATCAGAATCTAACCTCCTTGAGGGAAACTTCTAGTTTGTAGCTAATTGATATTTCAAATGAAAACATTTGTGGAGCAAAGAGACTCCTTATATAACACTTGTATAAACAGCGCCTTATACAACTGTGTCCCCAATGGTGCCTTCATAGTGTCATGTACTTAGTAGGGATACAAAAATATTTTTGAATGAATGAGATATTAACTTCCTCATACCTATAAGAATATGACGGCGACATCCTCCATCTACACGTTAACTTTTTAAATTAATTTAAACGTGGTTCTCCTACATTTATAACACAAAAAAGGGGGTCTGTTTTCATTAGTAAATGAGGTCTGTGCTTTCAGGTTTATTCCATCTTTACTTGAGAAACAAATGCATGCCTTATGCAGCAGATCAAGGTAGCGACTGTATTTGCCAGTGTACCAGACACGCCACTGTGTAAGGGAAAAGGAATTTCTCCTGGAGCTGATAATTTCCAACACGTTCAGCAACATTTGTCTCTTGGGCTTCTGAACAAGACCACGTATGTGAAGGCATAGGAAATTCATGAAGCGCTCAAATAAGGAGGAAACTATATTGCTATCCATAGCTCTTATTTTCCGTGCTAATGTTTCATGATTGTTTTTTAGTTCAGAAAATAGTCATTGGGATTCTCAAAAATACTACCTAAATATAAATCCATCGAGACAGAAAGCAGGTTGGCGGCTGCCAGGGACTGGAGGCGGAGGGAACGGGAGTGACTGTGTGATGGGTCAGGGTTTCCTTTCCGGGCAGTGAAGATGTTTTGGAACTAGATGGAAATGAAAGTGGACCAACATGGTGAAGGTGCTGAATGCCACTGAATCGTTTACTTTAAAGTGGTTGCTTTTATGTCATGTGAATTTCACCTCAATTTTAAAAAATTGCCTATCACCTAAATAACACTGAACAAATTTTAAATGTCCTGCAGGGCAAGACAGTGTTATATTCTAGAGCAGCCCCAGAGCCAAGGTCCGGCAGCCCCCTACATTTCACCTTTGGATAAGGAATGGGATCCCCCATGGATAAGCAGGGCCGGGTCCTCAAAGCATCCCCAGAGACACTCAGCTGAGCTCCATTACGAACCAGCCCAGCACAGCCCAGTGTGTGTATTTTGGTCTGTTACTCCGTTGGCTGCCACAAGGACTTGTTAAAGTATTTAGTTTGATTAAGGACTTTCTAATTCCAGAGGAGGAGCCTAAAGCAGGCTTTATTTTTTTCCTTTAAACCAGTGGAACTTTCCAGACAACAACTGGCTGACTGTGGATGGCGCCCCATACACTTCGCTGGGTGCTGGGCCGTCTGTCCATCAGGGCCCAGTGGGGAGGAAGGAGGAGGATCCTGCCCCAATAGGCAGAGTCCCAGGCTACCGTGTCTCTCCACTCCAGGCAGGTCCCGCAGAGGCAAAGGCTAGCTGTAAGGAAGGGTGGGCGGACTTGTCCTAACAGCTCTCAGCTTCTCAGGAAACAGTGCTTCTGTTGTGTTGTCAGGGGAGGAACAGACTCTGTCAGCAAGAGCAAGGGCAGGTGCAAGGGCAGCGTCTGGGGTCAGGT